ATAATAACGCCCCCACGGCTGAGAGGGTGAGCATGTTTGGTGTAACAGGGATTCGAACTCGCGACCCACAGATTGCGAGTCGATCGCCCTAACCACCTGACCATTCCGGGCCCCGTCTCGTGTAATTAAACTGTTCTGTCTCATGAAAGTCACATCAGTAAGGTACTTACCGAGCTCTTAATCTCCGCTATGTCGTCTCTTCGTCTGTTGAAAGCAACTGATTGATCTACGAGAACGCCAATGTACATTGGGTTGACAAAGAGCCTACGTAGTGAATAAAACAGTACAAAATAACTCGCTGTTTGACATTTTAAAATATAACGACATTTGAACGTCAAATATTCAACTTGAATAGTTTAGTTGTTATTATTTGTTGTAATTAACAAATAAAAAGTTTCATTGTAATTATAAGAAGAGTACGTATAGTATGTCAATCACATTACATCTAGTGTCGACAACTATCACCAGGACTCATCAGGTCGGCTGGATTACAGCGAACATAATTGTGGCCTAGGTTCTATTTAGTTCATCAGTTTTTCACGAAGAACGACTTTAATGGTGAATTACAATTATTATCCCCCTTTATTTATGTTATTTACAAATCAGATTTTCGTGCTTAGGTTCAATAACATAATATCATAATAACATAATATCATAATAACATAATATCATAATAACATAATAACATAATATCAGTTACATATTTTATTTACAACGTCCATTATATATATCTTTATTGTTATTCTTTTATTTAACTCAATTTTATTATCGTTTTTCTAATCAAGTGCAATAAGCGTGTGAACAGGATAAAGTTTTATTGTGTGCTATATTATACATAAACAGTGAACTATAAAGAGCTTATACTGTTTAGTTTGTAATTAAGCACAAAGCTACACAATGGGCCATCTGTGCTCTGACCACCACGGGAATCGAAACCCGGATTCTAGCGTTGTAAGTCCGCAGACAGCTTATACTGTCACCGAGCATTAAACTCTGAAATTATCCAATATCGAATGAAAACTAGAAGTACCAAAGCTTAGCAGGTTTAGTTTTATATCTAGCTAAGACTCACTTTTCCGTCGAAGCCAATCTTTCACACTTGGGAGTCCAAATGTGAACAGCAATCCAGGTTTGGGAAAGTAGCCATAGCAACCAAATCCACGCATGTTGTTTGGAGACAAAGTCTTGGAAGAAATCCCCATCAGGACAAGTCCAGAAGAGATACTTGGGGAAGATATCTTCATAGAAACACTCGTTCTCTGAGCGGATTCCACATGCGGCAATTAACAAGGACATTGTTACAGGGACAGTGAGACTGATGGGGAATGCAAAGCTAAATCCCTGGATACAAATCTTGCAAGCAAACTTGCCGAATACGTAACAAAGTAAGGACGCACTTACTTGAATTAACGCCACGTAAATGGGGGTCATTGCTAGGGAATCTATAGCTATTTCTTCGTGGATGGGGCTGGCTGTGGGAAGATCCGGAAGGTTGGAGTCGAGGACAAGAGTTTTCACTTGATAGACCATGACTAAGTGAGAGCGAAAACTGTTTTTGAAGAGATGGAAGAGATTGGATACATTCTCCATTGTCATGTACAGGAAAACCAGCATGCTACAGAAAATCAGAATAATCTTCCAGATGGAAATGAAGATGTACGTAAAGTATCGGCTTTTGCGAAGATCCCCCTTTACATTTGCGAGTTTCTTGATGAGCCCAACAGGTGACTTTTTGTCGATGAAGTTTTCCCACCAGGTGAAGGATATTAAGAAGACAGCAACAGGAATTGTCCAGGAACGTTTATAATGCTCGACGATCGGCCATATTACGAATCCAGTAGCCTGTGCAATGATGGAGAGGATGTCCAAAATGACTTTTAAAGGACGTTTTTCCTCATCTTTATGGTGAGATAAAAGACTGAACAGAGCAGGCATAAAGCAAACACAGTTTGTCAACATAACCGCCTTTACCACGTCCAGATCTGGTAGGACGACAAATACCAGGAGGCTCAATCCTAACACATGTAATGTTTCCATAAGAAAAACCTGTAAGTATAATGGAAATTTACATAGTTCATCAAGAAAATCAAAACGTTTTTTTATAACTTAAGTAAAAAGTTTGTTTTTACTTTGAAAAACCAGCCTCTCGAATACTACTATTTTAAACTAATTTAAATCACATTTTACTCAATTAAAACTTTATGCTACTTTTCAGGAATCGATAAGACTAATATTAAATGTAAACAGCCACTTGTTGATACAATTGATATCATACGACGATATCAAAAAATGGGGGTGTTGTCCTCCCACATATTACTTCTATAACAAAAATCAACAACCATGAAGCACCATTTTTTGTCACTTTTTACTAACAGCGAGTTAAAGAAAAACATGAATAAATGCAATTCAAATAATAGAAAAAATAACAAAATATCTAACCAGGTCCCTGTCTCGTGCTTTACAGGTAAAACAAAAATATTTAGCCAAGTCCCTGTCTCGTGCTTTACAGGTACAAGGCAAAAATATTTAGCCAAGTCCCAGTCTTGTGCTTTACAGGTAAAACAAAAGTATCTAGTCTCATGCTTTACAGATACAACAAAAGTATCTAGCCAGGTCCCTGTCTCATGCTTTACAGGTACAACAAAAGTATCTAGCCAGGTCCCTGTCTCATGCTTTACAGATACAACAAAAT